CGGTTTCCATAAATTGCTAAAATTTAATCGAAATATTTAGAGATTCATTTTTCAAGAAAAGTGCGTTTATATGGGGCCTTTTTGAAAGCCTAGAATATTTATGTAGTTACTATAGGATTCTGACGATGGTGTATAACACACTGATATATTGGGTTTTTGGACTTTATCCATCGTCCTGGTTTTTAAGATAACAAATAAAAACACGACGTTTCGGAAACTGGATCTGTTTTCGTCCACAGGTGAAGGAAAACAGGAAAATATATTTTTCTTATTAGCTCTCATGGACTCTCAGGTGTTTATAATCTTCATGTTTTGTGACATTGGTTTGTCCAGTGATTGAGGCTAGCTCTTTCTAACGGACCCAACTGAATAGGTGTTTTCCTTCACCTGTGGACGAAAACAGATCCAGTTTCCGAAACGTCGTGTTTTTATTTGTTATCTTAAAAACCAGGACGATGGATAAAGTCCAAAAAACCCAATATATCAGTGTAGAATATTCATATCCACATAGTGTCGAATTAGGGTGGACATACCCTTAAATATCGAGTGTGAATAAAAACCTCCAAATGTTCAGGCTCTAGAGAGGGCCACAGCCATACCGCCAGGTAATCTGAATTCTCTAAGCCCCTATTTCTCGTTTAAATGTCCTGAAAACCTGCAAATCAGTCAAATTCTCGAGGTTGAGTTTTCCGCCATCAATGTACAGAGTGATTCTAAATTATTGTCAGGATTTTTCGTGGCCTGTAAATTTCAGAGAGGAAAAAACAAAACAAAATTCGTATGAAATATAAAAAAAAAAAATCTAAAAAATTTCATAAGTTATAGAATCAATAATGCAGATTGCTAAAGAACTTCAACATGCTCCTTTCTTTTCGCGTAAGGTATCCAAGCGGTATTGAATTTCCCTCCAAGTGTTCTCCAGCAATTGCGGTGTAACTGTTTCGATTGCATTAACATTACCTACCTACCTACTACCTACCACTCGGCGCAACAGCTTTGGCCTCCTCTACAAGCAATGCAGGCTGCCATAGGAATGGACCCACACATGATGACCCAAGGTTGGTTGTTAGGATTCTGAACAATATTCTTTTTATAGGATGAGGTTGTTAGCCTCAAGCCCAACCCCGAACCTCGAGAACCAGGGTATCTCTCTTAGGCTGGACTCTACCCTTTGACCTTTCCGGTATGGGTGACCCTACCAGTAGTTAAACTACCGCCGGAATAGCTCTCCAGGTCACAGTCACGCAAGCTCCACCACCACGACAAGGTAGAGACACCTTGAAATTGTATTATCCAACGTCAGATAGCATTATCTGAAGGTGAATTTCTTCCATATTGAGTTCTAAACCGACTTTGTATTCTGATTAGTGTTTTTGTTTCGAAAAACCAAAGTACACACATTGCCTTCTCTCTTACAGTCGCTATTTTGAGGTAAGATTTTATATTTTATCGCAGACATCAATTCAGCGAGCACAGCGTCTCCAAATAGAAGCTTATGATTTGAATTTTCATATTCCGTAAGTAGTTTTATATTGCTTTTACCGGTTTGAAAATTATAGGCAACGGAAACCCCGACAACAATATAGAATCCGCCCTGTACTTTCTCATATGTATGTTATTAAGTACGGGATATAAATGTGAAGTACTAAGAGCCTTAACCGCCCCAGATGGCTATAATGTGACCTACTGTTATGTACTTGTTGCGTACAAGAACATAGGAGAGCTCAGAATAAAGCCAGTGTACTTGTCCCATTGTCTCAGACCGCACGAATATAATTTGAAACGCCATATCTTAGGTCCTTATGGCCATTGCTATGGAGATCGATGATTTCTGGGATGCGACGTCGTGTAGTCTGGTAAGTTGTTGGCAACGTTTCGGAGTAACATGTTACCTCCATCTTCATGTAGACCTTAAGGGGTTCTGATGATGGCGAATTAAACTCGGGATTACTAGATTCTTTGACTTTATCCACAGTTCGAGCTTCTAAAGAACTCCAGAAATACGACGTTTCGGAAACTGGATTCTTTTCCGTCCTCGGGTGAGGGGGTGGGAAACACCTTCTCTGTTTGGTCCTTTAAAAAGAGCTAACATCAATCACTGGACAGATTCAGTTTCCGAAACGATCTTTTCTTTAGAAAACCGAACTATGGACAAAATCCAAAAACCCAGTAATCCAGCCTTCTTCGTATTCTGTCTTGAAGTTGGGTATAAAATGGACAAGTATTCGTACCGTGGAGAGAAAACAAAATATGGTTTTGAAGAAAGCAGTCTTCTGGGATTTGGCACCGTGTATATGTGGTGTTCACCGACGTTTCGAAGGAACGTATCGCCTCCATCTTCAGGGTAGAAGAAAAAATATAAGAATTCTGCAAGCGAAGAGACCGTGAGAACCGGTAAAAGCAGACTGTGGAAAAATACACAGCTGTGTATACACATATATTTTTTCTTCTACCCTGAATATGGAGGCGATACGTTCCTCTGAAACGTCGGTTAACACCACATATACACGGTGCCAAATCCCAGAAGACTGCTTTCTTCATAGTCACCGCCGTGAAAGCCTCAAATCTAAAATATGGTTTTGCTGTATTGCTAATATTAGGATTGACTTTTTTCATAGGTACATAAAGGCCATGGTTACCGTGGAACAGCAAAGCATCTTTAAATTATAAAATCTTGTTACTCGGAACGGTCTTCTAAATTAATTTTTCCATCCGGACGAAACAGATGTGAATGTTCTCCTCTCAGATTCGTACATTTAAACTTTGTGAGTGGGCTAAATGTCACCTTCATAACCGTGTTAAATTACAAAATAAAACGCTTCAGTTTATACATCATTATTTTTGAGTTCAAAGAAAAGAAATTTCCTAGATTTTCTTTTATTTCTTCTGCTTTAGAATTAATTAAAATTTTTATAACCACAAACACTTCTAATATAATTCTTTGAAATCTTTAGATGTAACCAATGTTGTGTTTAGTTTGAAGAATGAATACTTTTTATGATATTTTAATGAGCTTTCGAGAGAGGAGATTAATATTTCAAGCAAATATGTAGTTCATTCTCGATAACTTTAAGAAAAGGAACGTCATAGCTAATATGAAATCTGTTTCCTTCAGGTTACACATGTTACTCTATGAAATGCTTCTAGAGCTACTAAACACATAGACCTAAGATTGAAATGGCCTATACCTTGGAGTGTAATGAACTTTAATTTACTTGCTTTAGTTTCTGTTCGGACAAGTGTAACTGAGCCCTAACTAACGGAGTCCTTTGTTAAGAAACAATTCTAATATTTTGGTGGAGAGAAAAATGTCTTGCTTCTGTTACTAATCGAACCCATATTCCCGGGTTGTTCAGTCAGTTGGCTAGTTACCATATTGACTGAGCTATTCCATCTCTCATATTAAAAAAAAATTTAATTCGCTTAGTGGGGGGGGTGGAGTCCAACTGTGTCCACTCGGCACGGCGGCCACTGATTGGCCTATTGTAGCCTGCCCCGGGTGATAATGATGGTGTAGAAGTTGGTGGAATGAAGATTGGCAGGGGAAACCGAAGTACTCGGAGAAACCCCGCCCCATCGCCACTTTGTCCACCACAAATCCCACTTAACCAGACCCGGCGATCGAACCCTGGTCGCCGAGGTGGGAAGCCAGCGACTAACCGCTTGAGCTATGGCGCGGCCTATATCTCATATTAAATATCTTCTCCAAATTTTTTCGTCAAGTTTATGTCAGATCTTCAAAGCACCGCTCTGAAGTCTATTTACACACATCCGCGACTTGTCAGTTCCACGTCCGGTCACTTCCGTGGAATTTCATCAGTGTCAGTGATGATTCATATCGTTTCTTTGAACTTGATGGACGCATCCATTCATCTCTGGCGCAGTGCCGCACTGTAGGTGTCAGTATCAGGCCGTATCCGTTCCGTGACGTTGTGTATCGTCGCCAACGATATTTTTCCTGTTTCACGGACGCGTTATGGTGTGGAGTTGGTGAAGAAAAATGAATGACGAACAACTTATTGAACTGAAAACCTCAAAACTTACATAACTTATTGAACTGGTTCGCACTTCTCCTGTTCTTTATGATTTATCGTAGCCAAAGTAAATGGACAGCAGTTTCGAAACCGATATTTGGAATACGATAGGAAAAGAAAAGAGAGCAGATGTTTTAGCAGTGATATAGCCTTTCTCCAGCGGGTGTCTTGATGTTTTAAATTAACTTCTATTTTACTCAACAATATGTTAAAACAATTTTCAGACATTCTGAAATATCCAAAAAATTTCGTCTCACCATCAATTAGTTCCTTATACAGAGTACCGAATTCTCCATCACGTTCTCTATTCAACCACGTCTCCTGCACTCACTTCCGTTTTTTCACCTCCCGCTGTTCCTCTTCCTCTTCCTCTTCTTCCAGAATTATTGCAATCACTGCCAATTCAATGTCCGTAAACTTTGTCATCTCGAAAATCATTGACTTCGAACTACTGAAACGATACTGACAGTGTGTATAGCCGTCACTGAGACGTCACGGATGTCACGGTTACTGAACTGACATGTCACGGATACGTGGACCTTAAATCACTTGATTTTTATCGCCTCTGTTGATGACCGTTAATATAGTTGAGTCGGTCACGGTAGCCGAACGGTCTGAGGCATGAACTGTTTTCGCTCGCTCGAAAACCGGGATCGTGGGTTCGAATCCCAAACAAGACATAGATGTTTGATACGTGTATGTGTTTTTTCTGTGTTTGTGTTGTCCTATGTTTAGGTACAGGCCTTGCTACGAGCTGATCACTCGTCCAAGGAGACGTACCGTCTGTAGAATTATCAAAATGAAAAAAGGAACTGGACAACGTAAGATATAAGAGAAACGATTAAGTAAGCAAGTAATAAAGATGAACTTTCCTAATTGCACACGACTCAAATGCGTTCTTATACCCAGGACGAGCTGGTACTCATACCGTCAAATCGCAAAAGTTCTTAGAAGTCTCACACTTACCGGTGTAGTGTTTGTTTCGATCGTGATGGCAAAACCAAGGACAAGAGTAGGGGAAGACACGTTCTTCAGGAAACACAGCGCTCCTCAGGCGTCCGTGTATTTGTCTACGTTCACAAATAGCAGTAACTGAACAAACAGCCTTCTTGTTGTTCTGTCAGTGCGGCCATCCGGCTCCTGGCGCCAGAGTCACTTACGTAACAGCCTCATGAAGTTGCAGGCACAACTTTGTGTGCTTTAACCACGTGAGATCTGGACCGGTTCACATACTGACCCTCAAGAAGATATCCATGACATGCTCCGTCGACATTTAAGAATGCCGTGAATTATTTCGAAAGGTTTATACTTTCTGGTATGTCATTTATGTTGGGAATGTTGTTTAACCACCATCTGGACTTCAGCAACGGGACAAATATCTAGACAAAACTTAGTGCGAAACAGTGGACTGGTATCTCTTGGCTCGGAATAGGATAGAGCAGGTGGTTCTTGTGAATACATGTCTTTAAAAGATGAGTATTTTCTCAACTAGCTGAGTGAGTTTCAGCTCTGAAAAAATAAAACCTTCCTATAGAATTGACTGTCTTATTAATTAGTTAGTTGAAAGTTCAGGTAGAAAGAGACTGTTTAAATTTCAGGCACTGAACAGCTGTACGGGCTCGACGCTGCTGTATGATTCTGCTGCTGACAGAGGAAGTGTTGGAGCCTCGTCTTGCTGCGGAAGCGACGCTTGGCCATCTAGTGAGGAACGGCGGAGACTGACGGTAGCAGGGCTGTATGGTCGGGCGGCAAAATTTCGGCGGCAGAAGAAAGCTGCCAAGACGCTGGGAATTGTGGTGGGAGGCTTCCTACTCTGTTGGTTTCCCTTCTTCATTCTGCTGCCCATCGGTACGTAGAAACACAGGCTGTGTTTGTGAATCTGCAGTAACGTTACTTCAGTTTAAGCGGTTCCGAAATTCAAGAGCATAAATTCAAAGTCTCTGAGGACGGAATATATTTGGACCTAAAGAAGAGAAAGTAGCAATAATTTGGTAAAATTTCTTAACGACGAGTTTAGTAATTTTTTCACAAATTACTGTTTCTTCTCTCACCTCTCGCTCCCACTTTGGAGCATACGGCTCATTTCTCAGTTTCATAATCATTTTACAGACGATAGGACTCCTTGGACGGGTAATCTGCTCGTCGCCAGGTCTCTACCTAAACACAGGACAATACAAACACAGAATAAACACATACACCAAATATCCATGCCTTATGTGGGATTCGGACCTACTGTCCCGGCGTCCGAGCGACCACTCAGCTACCTTGACTGGCTAAAATACTATTAGGGTGATCAAATTAAGGGGGATTAAATGGGCAGCACATATAACATTCGAAATTCGTACACAATTTTAGTTGAAACACTTGAAAGACAGGGGCATTTGGAAGAGACAAGAATAGTTGGGAGGAAAATAGGGTAAAAGTAAAGTAAAGTAAAGCTATCCTTGTAACAGGCCGTGAAGGCCCATAGGGTTGTGAGACGTTGAGGGTGCAACATTACCTTGACAATCGGCTCAAAGATGGCGGTAAGATTGTCAGCTTTAAGCGCCGGCCGCGCTTTACTCCCCAGGAAAATTATTTAATTAATTCCTGGTACTCATTTCTGTTAGAGGCTGAGTAAACCCCAGGGCCTAGTGCGGCCGGAAGGATTAGGTGGAGGAAAAGAAGGTATGGTTCTTAATAGAATATTGGACTCAGAGATACTGATAACGTCGTTAAATAATCCATAATAATAATAATAATAATAATAATAATAATAATATGTGGGAGGTACAGTCCATGATAAAACTCGGCCTCTATTTTACAGTTTCTTATTGATAGAGAGAGTCGGTAGGATTCCTTGGGCAAGGGATCAGGGCCTCGTAAGGCCCTACCTACACAAGACAACAAAAACACAGGATAGATATCCACGCCTCGAATGTTATTCGAACCTACAACTCCCAGGATTTGAGCGCGCGAAGGCACTACATACCTTAGATCGCCCGGCCACTGTGATCAGCTAAATAATCTATGTATAAAAATAATTTATAAAACAGAATATCGGGTTGTATACTGGATTTATCTGATTCAGGATGAAGTCCAGCGTCGTGTTCTTGTTGAAAGTGTAACGAACCTTCTGATTACATATGCTGAAAGTAATTTCTTGATTGTATGAACAAATGTTACGTTCTTAAAGAGGCCTCTGTCCCATGGAATTAGTTAATTTTAATTTTGTTTTGTACCAGCCCCACATGATAGGTGAAGGTGATTGTGAAGCAATTGGTGGAATGAATATTGACAGGGGAAGTCGAAATACTCGGAGAAAACCTGTCCGAGCGCCACTTTGTCCACCACAAATCCCACTTGACCAGACCCGGGATCGAACCCGGGCCGCCGCGGTGGGAAGCCAGCGACTAACCGCTTGAGCCCTGGCGCGGCCATGGAATTAGTTAAAACACGCTACTGTTTTTTTCGTAACCCTTTTAGAATTTTTTTTTTTTTAGTTTAATCGACAATCAGCAATCAGAATCTACATTCTATAGGCTAATATTATGAATGTTGAGATGACATGATGAGGAGGCGTCCAGCGGCGACTCCTCAGGAGTTCAAATCAGGTCAATTGGCCAGTTTCGTTTCAGTCGTCTGTTGTCTTCTCTTGTCGATAGCGTCTTTAGAAGTGGATTTTTGTGAGTTATGATTTTGTTGTGATGTCTGTTGCTTTTTTGTTGGATGACGTCTTGTACGGGAGATATACCGAGATCGGTGTGGAGAGTTGCGTTGGAGACATACCATGGTGCGTCGACTATCATTCTTAGGATCTTAGATTGGCATCTTTGGATTATTGCTGTGCTGGATTTGCTGGCGCAGCCCCATAGCTCCAGGCCGTATGTCCAAATAGGAATGATTATAGTCTTGTAGATCAGGATTTTATTTTCGACTGATAGCTTTGATTTCCTGCCTATTAGCCAGTTTAGCTGTTTAATGCTTAGGTCTACTTGTTTTCGTTTCTTGACTATATGCTGCTTCCATGTTAATTTGCTGTCTATAGTCATACCTAGGTATTTTATTTCTGTTTTGCGTGGTATTTGGATGTTGTTGATATATATGTCAGGTGTCGGCTTTTTTCGTAGGGTGAAAGTTATGTAGCAAGTCTTGTTTTCATTTATTCTGATGCGCCACTTCTCGAACCAATTTTGTAATGTGTTAAGGTGATGCTGAAGGTCTGTTGCTGCTCTTTCTGGATTTTTGTTGACTGACAGTATTGCTATATCATCGGCAAATGTTCCAACAGTTATATTTGGGGAAGTTGGTAGATCGGATGTAAATAAGGTGTATAAAGTTGGGCCTAGGACACTGCCCTGTGGCACGCCTGCTTTTATGGGTTGTGGTTCAGATTTTTAATTTCCCACTCTTATTTGGAACTTCCGGTGACCTAGGTAGGATTTAAGAAGGTTAAAGTATGATGGTGGAAGGATGTGTTTGATCTTGTATAGCAGACCACTGTGCCACACCCTGTCGAAGGCCTGGCTGACGTCTAAGAACACTGCTGTACAGTAGCTTCTGTCGTCTAAGGCTTTGTTGATGATATTTGTTATACGATGGATCTGCTGTAT